AGATTTGCTCGATATGACCCCCAAAAATATTCAGAGTTTGTGTTAGCAGACGTTGTCAACATCATCGAAATGTATGAATAACAGCACAATCCTATGCCTACTGCAATGAATAAAACTAACAATGCACATAGACGTTCAATCATTTGATCTGAAGACACTTCCTTGGTACGTTTCTTTGGTTTTGTGCTACGGATTTTTGAGACTTCCCGTTTTTCATTGTTTTGTCCTTTCCTGTGATCTGAAGACACTTCTCTGGTGCGTTTCATTAGTTTTGTGCTTCGGATTTTTGATTTTTCCCATATTTCTTTGTTTTGTCCTTTGCTTCGTTTCAACTTTCCTTTAGCTTCAATCTGAGAACTCTCTCTGTTACTTTTTTTGCTATTCCCAGCAAGATACTCATCCGAGACATGGGTTTCATCTCCTTGTTGTGAAAATTGGTCGCCATGATCATCTCCTTGGGAATCCATGCTTGATTTACAACCACAGAACAGTACTTTGAACCATAAACAATAAACCCTTGATGATTTAATTTATAATTTCAAAAACACGTGCATTACGATTATTAAACGTATTATATATACAATAGAAAAAGTATAAAGTGAGTAGGAAAGTTAAAGTAAATATATAAATATTTTTATGAAATTCTAAAAGCTATTGTCGTTTGATATATTTGTCATTGGCAAGATCGACCTACCTGTCGTACATACGAAACTGAAAATAAAAAAGACCAATATACAACTGCTTTAAAATCAATACTTTAAAATTTAAAAGATAAGAGTTTAATAGTACAAAAGGATCGGAAGGGATGAGTGTGAACAATTTAATCATAGAAACCAGTGATTGCAGAAATATTCAGAAAAAACTGGATTTTAATTTCTCTCATGTTCCCTAATTAATAATTATTATTGTAATAACTTTCAACCTGCATTGAAAAATTTTTGTCTAATTTGCAGAAGAAAAGTTCATTTTTGACTTCTATTCACCTTAATAGCGGAATTTACGTCTCTAAACCTGTTTACAATTCCAGGAATTAATGATTTTTTGGTTTTGGTTTATTTGAACACAATTCTGAAAATTGTTAGTTTAAGAAATATCATGGTGTCAAGCGTTTATTTACTTTCATTTTTCAACGTAAGAAAGCAAAATAAACAAAATTAAAGCAAAAAATGTCAACTAGCTTCGATTTATTTCATTGCAAAACACAGGTTTATCCTAAATCAGTGAACTGCAGTATTTTAAACATGTAATGGGCAGTACGAAAGCCTAGAAGGCTCATTCGAGATTCAAGTTTCGAAATACGAGATTCAGAATTCGAGTTTCGAAATTCGGGATCCAAACTAACCAATCAAAAGCGGGTTCAACTTTTGATTACTTCCCTTTGTTACGCTTTTACTATCAAGAAATCGTTGAATATATTCATAACAGATGGATCATTTGCTAAAATGATAATGCAAAAAAAATCTTTTATGCATTAAAACGAAATAAAAAAAAATTTGGATTACATTTTGAAAAATACATATATAATCTATTTTTCTAATTTAACAAAATAGTAAATACGTATATAAGGAATATTATATGGTCTTATCGTTGACTTGCTGAAAAAACTAGTTCAACCAATTTTATTTCACCAGATCATTGTTGATGGAGAATGTTGCATTTGATTATAATTAGATATGAAATATTATGAATCGTATCTACACTGCACAATAATTTAAGGGTACATATTTCATGACTTTTTCTAAAGGGTACATTTGTGAATCTTGACTCCTGAATCGAACTGTAGCTTTATATAAGGTTTCATAAGAGTGTATTTTAGTCTTTGGTTATAAAGCTATGGTCAGAGACTAAAATATAACACCATAACACTACATAGTTCTGCATCTAATTTAGACTCATCTACTATTTGATATATGATAAAATAAATGCCGCATTTATTTTAATTCATATTGCTAAACTGTATTGTAGATATAATTTTTGATTAATTTAAAGCCATATATATGGCGTACATGTATGTACAATGAAAATTATTAGACTAAAATTATAAGAACGTATTAGTTGTATCATTACTTTATATAAAGATAGAACTTTACCGTAAATTACAAAATCAGTCAATTGCGTTATAAAGATATCACAATTTAATTTGGATTCTCGAAATTTTCTCATACTCGGAAGAAAATACAAAAGATTTAAATAACACATTACAGAGAAGATAAAATCGTATTATTAGATGAAACGAGATGTTCTCCGTGTTCAGAATCGTATGAAAAGCTTTAATTTAAATGTATTAAATATATTTCTTTACTTAATTTTGTATTTTTCAAAAATATATTTTTTGATCAGTTACGCCATATATGGCTTTAACAAATCAAAGCCTTAGATGAAGATAAGTAATTAATTACTTAATTTTTATGTATTTCCTCTATCAGGAAAACGAATGCGATTTTTATTTATCATTACTACGTCGTCTTTCAAGTTTCAAGCCTTTCAGTGTGTTTGGAAAAATGGGCAGGCCGGCGGGGTTGAGGTGGGGTTAGTGTTAATCTTTAGACCCTTGACACGTATTCATAACTTTATTTATATGTCATCAACCCCGTAAACAAAGTAGACAATACAAAAATATACGTATTCCTGATATCTGTATTCTATTTAATATAATATAAATTGAAGTATATTTTGCTGATCAAAAATCCAATGATTATTTAAAGAAGAAGGTATGGTTTTAGCTTCATTGCGCCCTAAAAATGTAACGACATCAAAAAGTTTTGAAACTGGCTTAGTTAAATAAATGATTCTGATAAATCAGGAAAGAATATGGCATGAAGGTTTACCATTCTGCAAATATGACGTCATTAATGTGAAGCATTTCTTATTTTCAACAGAAAAAGCCTCAAAATGGCACATTTCAAGGGTGATTTTCCTTTAGAAAACAGTGTTCACAGCCGTCGCCCACGTCAATTTTTTGATATTTTGTGCAAAATTTAATAACAAATCACATATCTCAAGATCTTTGTGGGCAATGCCTGTGGACAATGTTATCTGAAAGAAAATTCAATTGAAAATTGGTGTCTTCTGCAACTTTTTAAGAAAATACGGGAAAATGCTCATGTTTATGACGTCATAATTAGCATTTAAAAACACATGTGAGAAAAATGACTTGTATGATTTTTCTGCATTGAATTTCAATTTTTTAAAAAGCCTGAGTTTTCAACTTTAACACCAGTTTCATTTTTGAAAATCACAGGGCAAAATTTGTATGGAAAACATACCTTCTTCTTTCCTTCTAACATATGTAACACCCTTTCTTGCATTGTAATTTAATTAAATTACTTATATGTTATTTATATATTAAACGATTTCTTGATAGTAAAATCATAATAAAGGGGAGTAATCAAATCTTTAACCCGCTTTTGATTGGTTAATCTGGATCTTGAATCTCGAAATTCGAATTTCGAATCTCGTATTTCGAAACTTGAATCTCGAATGAGCCTTTTGGGAGCTTTTGATTGGTTAATCTGGATCTTGAATCTCGAAACTCGAATTTCGAATCTCGTATTTCGAACCTTGAATCTCGAATGAGCCTTCTGGGCTTTCGTAGGGCAGTTATGATTATTCAATGTAATGTACACTTTAACTGTGGTATATTCATAAAAAGTGCGTTTGTGAATTTCCTTATCAGAGCACGCACACTGCATACATGTACGTTAATCCTGTTTTTCTTTTTTGTTTAGACAAGCAACGTAAGTCGCTTAGAAATTTTAGTAACATGTACCCATTGTTATGTATCCGACGAGACAGAGAACACACATCAAAGATGGCTACTCGTTTATTACTGGCCGGAAACTCGGTATACCGAGCCCGACCTAAATACATACATATATAACATCTCCCTTTTCACACATAAAAACAAAGTTTAGTATGTCAGCATGTTACAAGAAAATGTTCAATACAGTATTGCTTTAAGAGTCCAAATTGCCAGTCATTTTTTTTTTTAAGAAATAGAAATTTAAAGTTAATCAGGCTACATGCCTACATAAAAATGATATAAAATGCGAAGAAACAAAAATAGAACAGTGGCACATATTTCTGTAATACTAAAACAAATGACAATTTTCTTTTTCACTACATATACACATTTCACATCACTTTACATTCACATTACACATCACTTCACAGATCCAACTTTTTGGGTGGAATAATGTGTCTCCTTGATCTTGTGGTCTTTGGGGCGATGCTGGTGTCGGCTCTTTGGGAAGCATCAGAGATTTCTGTTTCGATCGCGGGGGTTTGGGTCAAGTTGGTTGGCTCCTGCAATACGGTTGGCTCCTGCAAATTATCTTTGGACGGACTTTCATCATGAAATTTTCCATCATCTGCGTAGTTGTTTACTGCTTCATTGGCCTTGTGAGTTGATGATCTCAAGTGTTTGCGGTTCCGACGCAACTGGCGATTTCCAACTTGCACGATATATGACCGAGGTGCTTCATGATGACGTACGATAGTTCCTGGGACCCACTCCTTTCCTCCCTGCTGTGGCATGATTCGCACGGGATCTGTCGGATATAGAGGTAACAGTTCTTTGCTTCTGTTATTGATGTCAAAAGCAGTTTTCTGCTTGTCCTTGGCTGACTGTAGACTCTGCTTAATAATATCATGGTTTTGGCCTTTCGGTCGCAGAATATCGGATGCTGCAGGTAACGTATTACGTGGTCTCCTTCCCATAAGTAGCTGCGATGGAGACAGGTTAATTTCTTCTATCGGTGTGGTTCTATAGTTCAGAAGGGCAAGCTGTTTGTCCACCTATTCTCTCCATAGATGTTTCACAGTTTGGACGGCACGCTCTGCTGCCTCATTTGAGCTCTGGAAGTGTGGACTTGACGTGACGTGTTTGATGTCCAGTTCATGGCAGAAGTTGCGGAATTCGCATGAACTGAACTGGGGCCCATTATCAGATCGGATTTCTCTGGGGATTCCATGGGTTCCAAATATGCATTTTAAGGTTTCTATGGTGGCAAATGATGATGGGACTGAAGCTCCACACAATCAATATACTTCGAGTAATACTCGACTACCACAATGTATTTCTTGGACTCAAAGTCAAATAGGTCGCACCCTACTACTGCATAAGGTAAGTCTGGGACTGGTGTTGGATTTAAGGGTTCCGGTGGTTGTTTGTTTTGGAATGTGGCGCACTTCTCAGAGTCTTTAACAAGTTGTTCAATCTGGGAGTTCATTCCAGGCCAGTACATAACTTCCCGTGCTCGCTGCTTGCACTTTACAATTCCAAGATGGGACTGGTGTATAAGGCTAAGTATGTGTGACCGTAGAGTCGGCGGGATAACAATGTGCATGCCCTTAAATATCACACCATCTATTACAGATAGTTCACTACGGGAGGCCCAGTAGTCCCGCACGCTGAGAGGAGTTTCGTTCTTTGTGTCAGGCCAGCCATTGACAATGACAGTGTATAGTCCTTTTAGCTCTACAAGGGTCCGCTCTTTGATGTCTTCTTGCCTCTCTATGCTGACAGATAGTAGGTCAAAGGCTCTGATGTCAGCTACATCGAGATCTGGTCCGTTGTTTGGCAAGTAAGCTCGAGACAATGCATCAGCCGCTGCCATGTCCTTGCCTTTCCGATATTTGAATGTTATGTCATACCACTGAAGCTTGAGAAGCATTTTCTGAATTCTCATGGGCACAGACAAGATGGGCTTTTTAAAAATCTGTTCCAGCGATTTGTGGTCATTGTAGACAGTTACTGGCTTTCCAAATATGTAACAATGAAACTTTGATGCTCCATGAACGACTGAGAGCATCTCTTTTTCTATTTGAGCGTATCGTTTTTCCGTATCTGTAAGTGCCCGGGATGAGTATGCAATCACCCGGCCTTCTTGGATGAGGTTAGCACCTAGTCCGTCTTTTGAGGCATCACACTGGATTTCTGTTGGCTTGTTCACATCATAGAGACCTAAGACTGGAGCAGACGTACAAGCTGTTTTTAGTTTGTCAAAACTCTCCTGATGTGCTTTGTCCCATTGAAATGGAATGTCAGATTTTAGAAGTTGTCTGAGAGGCGCATCTATTTGGCTCATATTTGGGATAAATTTACAGAGGTACTGTACAAGTCCGAGGAATCTCCTTACTGCTTCCTTGTTGTTGGGTGCTGGCATGTTGCACACTGCTTGTATCTTTTCTGGATCAAGGCTGACGCCTTCAGCACTGATGATATGTCCTACATATGGTACTGATGTCTTGCGAACTCTGCACTTGTCATAGTTTAGACGCAAATTGTACTCGGTTGCTCTTCTGATTACAGCTCGGAGTATACTGTCATGGTGCTCACGATCACGGCCTGCGATCAGAATGTCATCCATGATGGCAAATGCTCCCTCAATTCCTTCCAGCATTTGGTCCATGATGCGTTGGTAGATCTCTGGGGCTGACTTTATACCGAATGGAAGTCTAAGCCAGCGGAAACGGCCAATGGGTGTATTAAAGGTAGTGAGATAAGATGATTCATTGTCGAGTTTGATTTGCATGTAGCCAGATTTAGCATCGAGAACTGAAAACAGATTTGCACCCGGGATAGAGGATGACACTTCCTCTACAGTCTTCATGGGGTAATGTTCTCTCTTGATGGCCTCGTTAAGGTCTTTGGGGTCAATACAAATTCTATCTTTGTTGTTCCGGAGGCTCACGACCATGGAGCTAACCCAGTCAGTAGGCTCTTCAACAGGGGTAATGAATCCATCTGCTTCCATTTCTCTCAGTTTTTCAATGATTCGTGGCTTAAGTGAAGCTTGTTGACGGCGCACTGGATGGATCACACCTTTGGCGTTAGGATCAATTTTAATGGTATGTTCTCCTGGGAGGGTACCAGTAGTACGAATAAGATCGGGTAAGTCACTGAACTGTTCTAACTGTACAGAGTTGCATGCGGCAGTGTCCAGGCGTGTAATGAGACCAAGTTTTTCAGCTGTAGAACCTGTGATAACGTTTTCCTGGGGAACGTTGACTATTTCGAACTTGGTGCTAATCTGTGCGTCACCAACACGACTAGCAAGCGGTAAGTCAACACAAAATTCTGGACGAATGGTGTGGTTGGTAAATGAACGCAGTATTTTATGTGATTTCTGTTCATTTCCATGTAGTCCTGCTTTTGTGTACTGTGCCTTGACGATTACATTACATTTAGCTCCCGTGTCGATACGGAACTCTATTGGCTTGTTCTGAACGTACAGTGTAGTGAGCCATTTGTCTGATTTATAAGTGTCAGCTTTCCCATCACTGGTAGCAAGAATGTCTATCATGGTACTTTCACCCTCATCATTGTCCTCAGATCCGGATGAGCCCTCTGGGTCTAGTGAGTACATCTTGGCTCGGTTGCGCTTCCGACAGACAGCTAGCCAATGGTCTGGGTTCTTGCAGTAACTGCACAGTGTTCCAATCGCTGGACATTTGGCGTGATTGGCATCCAATCCACTGCGTGTGCAGGGGTTTTTCACTTTTTCAGGTTTACGTTTTGTTTTACTCTCCTGTCGTCTTAGTTCCGGTTTCTGCTTTACTCCGAGTTTGGAGATTGAAATTTCCTCTAATCCACGGATCAATTTCAGTTGTTTTTGGGACATATACTGACGGCCTATTTTGAGGGTTTTAGCAAGTGTCAAACCTTGTCCTTGGTCAAAAAGGCGTTCTTGAACTTTCTTATGAGACACTCCAGCGATAACTGCATCAATCAAAATGTCATCAGTGTCAGCATACTCAGAGTCCATGAGAATTAGACGCAGGTCTTTGATGAAGTTGTCGAATGGTTCGCCTTCTTGCTGCTTACGCTGGAAAACTTTGAATCTTGCAGCTCTCTTGTTTTTCCGAGGTCTTACGTATGCTTCAAACTTGTCCAAAATTTTCTTGGGGTCATCTTCATCTCCTTGCTCCCAATCAAACGTTTTATATACCTCGCGGCCGTGTTTCACAATCCAAATTCCTAGCCAGCCGGCTTTGTCCTTCTTGTCAGATTTGCACAGAGATCCTTTGAAAACGAAGTCCACGTGCTGTCTGAACCGCAGAAAATCACTGTAGGTTTCTGGGTGAGACCAGTCCATGGAGGGTTGTTCGAACGGAATAGACATTGTAAATTGATTGACAGAATGCTTACTGACTTTCTAGAGTTGTTTCTTACAGACGGACGTGGCTTGGTCCGCTTTCTGACACCATGTTATGTATCCGACGAGACAGAGAACACACATCAAAGATGGCTACTCGTTTATTACTGGCCGGAAACTCGGTATACCGAGCCCGACCTAAATACATACATATATAACACCCATGGACCTCCGGCCCACGGACTATCATTCATATTCATGATACGTAAGAGCATGCTGAGGTGTGATTTGTGAACTTTTGCACTGCAGCTCTCCATCACATTTATTTGGAAATACACACCAGTTTAAAGCTGACCACGATTCGAAAAAAAGGATTTGTCTACCATATTTATTATAGCTCTCACTATATCTAAGGGCCCCTATAAATAGAAACGGACACTTTGTCACTGTTCAGTGAAATGAATTGTCACCGGTGTATATGGGCGTATGCTAGACAATACTATGTAGCGACAAAAAATCTGTTCTTCTTCCATTGCAGGGAAGTAAGATACTAAAGACAATTACAACAGTTATACAGGTCAGTGCAGTATACAAACAAACAAAAAAATATTCATTACTGCAATAAAACGCAAACAAACGTAAGCACAGGTCGCCATACCAAGCCAATTTCTATGACAATAAAGGTAACACAACGGTAATCAGGTAATTGACTAATCAAAAGAAACTTAGTCAAATGTAGTTCCATACATATAAAATTGATTTTCCTTTCTTTTGAGATGTTTTCCTTTAAGCCATTTTTACAACTTTGGTACTTAGTTGTGCCTAGTAAATTTTATGTACTTTGTAAATAAATAAAGGTTTAGACAGGAACAATTTTTCCAGGGCATAGGAGGTCACTTCCTGTGGCGCACTCGAGATGTTTATAAACACATTAAAAACACGTTGATTTGAAGAGAGCCCTGCTTGCAGATGGAAAAAGTCAGAAAATGACGTGTAGGTACAGTTAATGTCTACAAATATGTATTATGTTTTTTTTCCTATCGTTATCTTTTTATTATTTTGACCTTTTTAGACTCACTTTAGGTGAATAAAAATTGCTCTCGTGTTCGAATAAAAATATGCAGTTGAAGATTTCAATGTTACTTCATTAACATTTCATTTCTTGGCAGTTCTTGTTTTTAATTTTTTTTTTGGGGGGGGGGAGGGGAAATCAAAGGTAGCATTTTGGTTTTGTAGGATGAGTTTGAGCTATGATTATCGTTTGCTTATACTGATTTATCTTTAACTTTTAAATGACGTTCAAAATATACCAAGTTGACAATTCATAACAAACCTTTATAGGAAATACATCCTTTTGAAAGTATTTTATATGCATTTCTACATCCGTGTTTGGAACATTGCATTTTTCTAAAGGATTATCCAATTGTAGAAGAGTTTTTTCTATACATTTAAGTAGGCCTTTAATTGCTAATTTTACCTCTCCAATCAAACCTGGAACTAATAAACTTCAAGAAATATTATACATTAAAGGAAAGTTTTATTCCCCTTCTAGATAAAATTCCATTCAACATTCAAGATTGTCTCTAATGTTAACACTCCTTTAGCTAGGTTTCCGAAGACTTTTTTGTGCCGCAAACACTAAAGGTAAATCCCATATATACACATACTTACATTTTTCATGATCTACGTACATATCAAGTTAAAAATGTATCACTATACGAAGGCTGTTCAATAATTAATGTCATCAGCGCGATGACATACAACATAGAAATCATATGACATTAAGCTTGACTATCTCTCAATATTGAATCTTTAATGAATTGATAACAGTTAATTTGACCACTTGTATCACATAGTTTCATTGTGGGAACCTGGAAAACAAGAGCTATTCGAGACACTACATTAACAAGAGATGTTTTTAAAACACTTATGCCCCCTTCCCCCCAAATTGGATTTTTTCTAAGTCCAAGGGGCATATAACTATATCAACAAGTATATACTGACAAAAGTCAGAGATACTCAAGCTGTAGAAAATCAACTAAGAAAAGTCATTAATATCCTAAAATGGTATAATGTGGGCTATTGAGTTCAATCTTCTATTGAATTATATACATGTACATGAAACAAAATTCATATAATGAAGTTAATTAGAATAAATATAATTTATCGTACTATACGATGAATTTACGTTACTCACTTTCAGGAATATTTTATAGAGTATAGTAGACGTTTCTTGAATTAATAAAATATTTTTTATGTAGACATTTCATATACTTCAAACTATACGCTTTTTTAATTTTGCTTAATGACGTACATAAAAACATGTTATAAACATCAATCTAAATAGCTTGTTGCAAGTCGGAAGAAAAGTTTTTCAAAGTGGAGGGGGGGGCCTCAGGGATCCAAAAAGCCACGTAATTACCGGTATACGGGTACATCTAACTGTGCGGCATGTACAGTACATATTCCGTTCGAATCCAAAAGAAGTTATTTAGGTTCCGTTACCAAAGCTGAAGAAAGTACGATTTTTTAAAATAAAAAAAAAACCTATGAGGGAGAAATTAACATTAATTTTGCGCTATTATTTTACTGTCTCTCAAAGTGCACATCATTTTCAGGCCCGTTATAGGCAATTTCAGTTTGGGGGTACAATCATACATTTTTTTGCTACGCATTGTAAAACTTTGACAGATAATAATGTATCTTAGTGTAGTCTACTTGTGAAGTTATGCCAAGTTATATTGAAATCAGACCAACACTGCGAGAATAAGCGTTTCGAAAATTTGTTAAGAGAAGGACAATTAGAAATGGGGTAACCTGCGTCACCTTTCAGAGTAACCAGTGGACTCGTCCAAGGATGCTTTGTCGGCGACTGTAAAAAGTACCTGAGATTCCTACGCAAATGAAAGCGCGAAATCTCTGTATAGAAACTGTTACAGCTGCGACGCTTCACTCATTGTTCATACGCTGTAGAATAGAATCCGACTTTTAACACTTAATATTTTTTAATATACAGATGTTTTCAACATATGCTTCATTTTTGTTTCTAGAAATATGTTTATCTACAAATATAATATAATTTCGTGTTTTTAATCTGAGTAAATCGATGACCTAGCATCGTTTTAGATAACTCAAGCCCCTCTAGGGCTTGAGTAAAAATGGTGCGATCGTACCCAAAACAAAACTTGTCCTAGATATTAAGCTGAAAAATCTGTATACTAAATTTCATTTCAATATGTGCAACCGCTGCAAAGAAAATAAACGGAAACTGCAAATAAGTGGAATTTTTCTAAGTCAAGGGGTATAACTCAAAAATGGTGCGATCGTACCCAAAACAGAACTTGACTTAGATATTTACCTGATAAATATGAATACTAAATTTCATTTCAGTATGTGCAACGGTTGTGAAGAAAATGAACGGAAACTAAATGGACAAACAGACCGACCAACATACAGCAGCAAAGCAATATGCCCTCCCTTCTTCGAATGGGCATAACAATGAATAGCTCATAATCAGTAAAGTAGAGTGAATTAAACGCTTCATTAAAGCTGCTGTAAAAATTGATAAGAATCCAAAAGATATATTAACTGAAATATATGAAAGTTATTACAACCAATGTCTGTTTAACAGACATATGAGCAGTTGGATTTCAATGAACAAAAATGATATGATGAGCATCAAAAATGGGTACCGTCCTTGGCGACAAGGTCATACAACAACCAATGCATATTTGCGAAAATTAAAAAAAATATCACTGATGATGTTTGATTGACACAACAACCAATGCATATTTGCGAAAATTTAAAAAAAAATATCACTGATGATGTTTGATTGACTTTAAGACACATAGGAAATTTGATAGACATAGGAATAATTCACACTGTTTTAAAGAAACATTTGATGGTAAAAAAGTTGAATACTGAAAGGTCACCCAATATATTCAAATAGTGAAAACGACAGCGTGTAGCAATATCTAAACAATAATTTAAAAAAAAAATCAAAAATTGTATTATCCACGTTTGTCTGAAATTCAAACACATAATGAAAATTTAATCCATTTTGCTTTAAACCCTCAAACAAATTTACAATAAGATGATTTTACAAAACAGTAAAGGCCTGTGAAAAGCAAAGAATTGCAAGCGCACAACGACAGTTTTATATGCTTTTTCCTAAATATTAGTGGTCTTGTTGTTCAAATTGTTTTTCGGGGAGGACGTCAATATCTGAAAGAGTCTAGAAAAAACATTTTGAAAACAAAATCGAAGGGTGTATTAGAGGAAGAAGCAAAATGAGTTAGACATTAAGAACCTTCTCTACACTGCACACTAAAGAGTTCTGATTCTAAGGTATTTTTCTGCAGTTAGAGTGATCTGCTCTAAGGCTTATATCTAACTTTTGAAAAATAGAAATTTACAATATATTACTCAATTTGTAATTAATCCAAATATATTAATTCTTAACATTTTAAGAGACCAAGATAAATTAACTGAACGTGTTATTTACATGTATTTTCTATATTGAAGGAATTAACAGTGATTTCTAGTCACTGATACTGCGTTGTCTTTGCACATTTTTCCCGGGGGTAAATGCAACGCATAATATAGTGAAAATTAAATAAATAAACACAATATTAACTCCATTATACAATATATTTTTCTCAATGTCAAAAAAAATTTTACACTTGTGTAGAGATAGTCCTTAAATTTCTTCAAGACAGCTTCCAAACACACAGGCCATGAAGATTAAAGGACTTTTGGGGATAAACAGCGCAGTACAGTTAAGGTGCGCAATGGAAATATCAACTAAATTTTGTATCTAAAAATGTATTCGAAATCGGGATGGCGATTATTTTTAGTACATTATTTATATCGGATAATTGTAATTATGAATAATAACTACATATCGAGGACAATTATATTTTATATTTAGACTAGTCACGTGATGCGGCAGTCACGCGATTTTAGCACATTGACTTGAAGTATTGATGTTACATATAAATATCACTAGTGCAAGGGCATAACCAAGTTAAATTTCCAAGTTTTGTAAATAAATATTTTCAACACGCATTGTAGTTTCTAAAAAGTGCTGCGATCCTGTCTAAATTCTGCAATTTCATTATTTAAACTATTCTTGTATGACGGAATGCTATGTTTTTTCCTGGTCAGCGGCATGAAATATTGATATAATTAAACTGTTTTTAAGATTTCATCAGGATCGCAGCACTTTTCAGATACCTAAATAGTTCTATTAGTTGAAATGTAAAAGCTTACTTTGATCCATAGAGTGTATGCCCTTACACTAGATCGATTTATAAAGACCCCCCACATTACCCTCCGATGTACTTGCATACAAATATACGGCAGTGTAAATTAAATACGTAATGTACAGAAAATATATTAATAAAATAGTGAAGAAGACATTAAATTCAAATTATTGGCCCATAGAATATCTGTAAATAATACTTTATTTAATTAGAAAATACATATTTTGTTGAGAAAATATTACTTGATCTGTCTCTTTCTGCATACAAACTACGTCACGTTGTAAGAAATGACGTCATATTGACAAGTGTATTGCGATCAGTGACTTGTTTATAACTTGTTATGTGGGATTTAACTAACGACAAAACAACACGCTGTAGTAAGTTTTTATGTAGTTTGATGATTTCTTATTGGTTAAATTAGCAGATAAACTCATTTTGTGGTATTTTAAAGAAATGTTGTATGATGTATATTGTGTGTGATGTCATAGTCAAGTTTTCCCGTACAAATTAGGCTCCGCCTCCTTTTTGTAACCTTAACTGTGCTGCGAGAGCGTTAATGTTTTGTCACACCAACTATACACGACAGAACTTTCAATGTTTGACTTGTTTAATTTCCCAAACTTGGAAAAAAACAATTTTAAGAAAGATAAGGAAAAAAGTACTGGAAATTTTAGGATCTGCTATTATATTCCAGTATACGAAGGGTCATACTCAAAAATGTGTTCTAAAACAATTAGTAATTGAATAAAAATGACACGGACATGTGTTTTAATTAAAAGAGAACAGTTTAGTTCAATCATTAAGACTAAATCATAGAAAAGCGTTTTTGCTTCCTTCCAAGCACCGATGACATTATTTATTGGACAGCCTTGTGCCTTTTACATGAAGTCTGTTTAATTTTTCTCCATTCTGATGTTACATATTCTGATGTATGTAACCTTAATCACTATGATTAAAGGATGAAATATATTCAGCATGAAAAACAATAAATTATGTCACATAATGCAATTTTTACTGTCAATACTGTCAATGATTCATCCCAAAACATGACTCAGAAGATCTGTGTGCTTATATCAACAGTCTCAGCTTTTATAGGCCTGATCATCATCCTTGCGTACTTCAAGGAGCGATAATCATTTCCAAAGTTGTACCTGACGACAGAGGCCCACGTTCGTAAAGCGGATCTGTAATAAGGTCCGTTTAGGTTACAGGTTTGACAATCCTGAAACCACCAGCCTGCTTTTCTTTCTACGGGACAGGATTTTTCCCAACTGTCGTTATTGAAAATTTTCACCCATTATGAGGCCCTAGCCTATCTCCTTCAATAAAGTTTTCCTTTCATAATCGATTCAAATACTTCTGCTTAATTTCTATATTTATTTCAATTATGTACTTTACGTCACTTTTATCAATAAATATGTGATAAAATGTAAATCAATGGTATTATTATTTCTTAAAATATAATTTCTAACAGTTTTAATGGAATTTCCAACATTATTTTGATACTTAGATAACTCTTTTACTTTGAATTGGTGTGTTTAAGAAAGTTAATAATTATCAGCTTAACTGGGTCTTTATGATTAGATGATGGAATGCATTTATTTGTATTATAATATGCATGGACATGCCTGCAGAATCACTGTATCCACGTATTCTCAACTTGTATTTGTCGGACTCGCTTCCAACAGAAAACTTTGAATACTTGGCGAAGGCCTTTTTGCCTGAGAAGTTCTGAAGGTCAACTCTTAAGTTTTGTTGTTCTCTCGTGGTGATTAAATGAATGGCTTCATTACCTAGATAGAACATTTCATTAAAAACAAACAAACAAAAACTAGTATTTTTTTTTATTCAGAAAGAGAACATATTAAATACAGTAATTTTATCGATCATCGGGAAGCTTTTTGAAAAATATCTGTATTATTTATCTGTATAGTTTTTCTTTAGATTCATACAAAAGAGCTACCACTGAACAGAATGTGTTAGCGAACGTATCTGAAAACCTTTGTATGAAACATCAAATAATACGTTTAAACTCGAAACAATAGTATATGATGCAATTCCATCTTTTACTTGGAGATCTTTTTGACATAGAAAAAAAGACTTGAAGGCTATGGTATAGTTGAGACTAATAAATGTCCCCTTTTTGAACCCGTTTGAGTTATCAAATGAAAATGATTAAAATTAAGAAAAAATACTTTAAAATAAATAAATAAATGTTAATGGATACTTGAACATTTTTCTAACGTGAGTCCAAATTAAAAATAAAGAAATTTAGTCAATGGAAATCTAATCCATATTTGATGAGGACATAACTCAAACGATGGAAATAATAATATTATCTCCTATCTAACTAGCATTCTTCATTCACGTTCCCAAACCCTTCTTTGTTTCAAAGGTCCGTGTTTGCTCTGCTCTTATTTTGTATATTGTTTAATGGACGTTGAGATTGAATACTGTTCGTTATCTCCATATCCTTCTTGTAGGATTCCCAAGATCTATAAAAATCAACTGATCCGTCTTTTCCTCTCTGAATAACCTAATGTTGAAATAAAGAAGACTTTTAAAAAAATGCTAATTACAAGTAGTTGATATGAAAACGGTAAATATGTATATGTCAAGATGTTTACGCTTGGTGGGTGTATACCACGCTTAGTTACAAATAAAATTACTATAAAAAATAAAGTTTTCTGAGATGTATATTAAAAACTTCATAAAAATTGCATGAATCACCACGAAATTCATTTGTTCAACTAGAATAATGGGAAAAAATGAGACTCAAGAATATTTCTACCGTCCAACCCCTTCTTCTGTAATCATGTCACAGTGCACCAGTTTCTTTGTCTTCATATCAGGATAAATAGTGTAGACGCCATCTTTTCCTTTTGTGTTGGGTATGGATTGTAGAATTGAAGCACACTCTCTCTTTTTTGAATATTTGATTTGAAGAAAAAAAACTCCATTTATAATTATTATTCTTTTTTCAATTCAAAGATACGTGCAAGTAAAGGTATCTCGTTATTTTTCACAGATTTTCGCAAAAGACAATAAACAAATGATCACTAGATAGAAAACGCTTTCTCCCATCTGTATCAGATAAAATTCTGCGTCCTTACTCTGGTACTTATTGAATTGTTTCCCAGTAAGTCTGTAGTGAGACAGAAGAGAAATATCCACAGAGACTGGAGTGTCCACTTTGACAGATGTGTTCAGGTGTTTCCAGTTCCAGGGAGTTAACTTCAGAAGAGCCTCAACATTTCCTGATATTAGTATCACACAAGTACTAAACAATGATAAACAATAACTTATGATAAAAGAATAAAATGCATTGAATAGCGAATGATTTGCATGTTAAATAAAAGTCGTGTTTTTTACTTTTCAATGGGGCATAAGGTCCAATACAAAATACAGTAAAAAAATTAAAAAGGTAGCAACACACACTCAACATGTCTGTATATTCCACTGCTTTCTTTATGGAAACATTCTATACGTATATACTTTATTCTATCTCAATTAAAATGAAATGTGATAATAGAGTTCGTGACAATGTATGTACACATTGATACATTGTATATTCACTAGAACGATTGTGAGGGTGTTGCCAAATTTTGACACTTTCAATGGTTTTATGTGGACATCGCACGAAAGATTCAAACAACTATACAATAATAAAACTGCCGATCCTACTGTATATGCAGTACTGACTGCGATATATAAATTGAACTTTTTTTAATATGAGATAACTTCGTCTTTACGCTACATTATGCATAAACGCCTTTATATTAAGTTGTGCATATTTGTACTTCAAATGAAATATTTTCAAATGTATGTAATTTCGAAAAAAGTATAATTTTCAAAATGTTAAAAAAAGAGCAAAAAATGATGTTCTAACAATAGACCTATAGCATGGTCCATTTAGGCCACAGTTTAGCCAGCCTTCGAACTATCATCTGCTTTTTTAAACAATAGCACAGGAATTGCTCTATAAGAAATATTTCACCGTTAGGTCATTCAGGCTTACCTCTTAAGGACAGATGATACAAACAAACTTTTGTCAAAAAAATTGAAAATTACAACTTGAGTCATGCTTTAATGAGTAAAATGAATAAGTTTAACCGCGTAGTTTTTGAATTTTTATTCAAATTCTCACAAAAATGGGATTTGAAGTGAAAAATATTTGTATAGATTAATAAGGATGGTTTCAGAGAGGTAGAATTTTGAACATCATAGAAGGTTTACAAATTCTTTATATTCTAGAAATTTATTTTTTACATCATTTTCAATGAAATAAGACCAAAAAATATATACCAATCCAGACATCCATTTTTTGTTTGTATCATCTGTCCTTAAATACATTTACGTTCTTTCAATACTCTTTGTTCATCTTTTTAAAATAAAACAAAATTAATTCCTGGACGTTTAAACGAGGAAACATCAGTGGGTACCCCCAGTTTCTGTAGACATTTTTATTCTGTCCCACTATAATCTGGGAGAAGCTGGAGAAAGTTTCATAGTACAAATTTTCAATTCTTATTTTAAGAGCTATAAATTTTCAATGGCATAAAGGCATAGAAAAACTTTCAAGGTAATTTAATTTTTAGAATACTCAGTACTTTTTATATTAAAATAATATCTTCTTATGAGTAGAACAAAATTCACTTGGGGTATTTTTTCGAAAGACCAAAATCACTCAGTTTTACTTAAAAATACATTTATTTATCTTTCATTTGGATCCTCGATTGCTGCATATGCTCATAAAAGGGCGTCATTTTCTTGCTTGTCCATGTAATATGACACAACGAATTGAATCTTCATTGTCTTCAAATCCTGGAAAATTGAAAGTTCTCTAGCTCAGCCTCTGATCTAAAATATAGAAACCCTTCTGAACATTGTAATCAATATGTTCTTTGCGGAGGTAACTCAAATGAAAAAATAATTCAGCTGAAATATACAGAGCAAAAGTTAATTTTATCCGAGTCCATCAATTTCACTAATTATTTTGTCCAGAATTGTAATGTAAGTGGAAAATATATATAAAGAAATAAATAAGTTCTAAAAATCAAACTACCCAGAAGAAAATAAAATTGTTTACAGAAGCTACTGACTTTGATTTTGTATGTACCCGTTGATTTATATTCAATATTCTCTCCTCAGTTAAGTTCTAAAATCAGATAGAAGATTAAATATTATAAAAATAAAATTTGCAATTATACTTATTCTAATAAGCCTATAATAAGAAATTGTAAATTTTTAAATTCCCAACATTTATTTTTATCCACAACAGTAATATAAGAATCAAATAGAACGTTGTTTTAAGTATGAAGCATTGCTTACTTTGAATTTTATGTCTAATCATGATGTGAAGAAATTTTGATATGGTAAGTTGAGAGATAAATAATTTTTATCTCACAATAAAATTAAAATTCGAGGTTTATATGAAAATAATATTTACTGTCATACCTATCTAATTCAAGTGAGAAAACACAGTAAAGCGTTGCTTTTTAAATCATTATATCATATTGTTTTCTGTGTTTGTAAAATAAAACGCATCAATCTTTCAGAGTCATGCATCTTTTCATGATTACCCTTTAAAATATTCTATGAGAAAAAATTCATTAATTAATTATACGAATTCTGCATATGAATTTCTGTAACAATTAAAAGAATTATAAGATAAGAGATTCATTGAATTGAAAATATTAATTAAAAAATAGAAAAATTTCCTCGGAAAGTTATCTCTCTAACTATCAGAGGGATATTACACCTAAAAAGCTCAAAATTGATTCAAAATATATTTGAACGAGTTATACAGAACTGCAACCACAGAACGAGATAATAAATGAATTTCAAATGGCTAACTTACGAAAATAAGGTAGTGCGAAAATATAGTGATCTGCAATAGAAATACCAAAAATGACTATAAACTATAGCCCGAATCCAATATTGTTTTAGATTTGCAAGTAAACTATCCACAAAAACGAAAAAAAAAACAATGAATCAACGAAAATTTTAATATTTCATCACATACATCTTAAAATAACTTCGCTTTTCTCTCTCTCACACACTAGAAAATATATCTTAACTTTGATTTGGACTAGCTCTAGATCTTAACACATGCGTTTAATCTGTATCCATACATATTTTTCCCTGTTAACCTATTGCTTTCCTTGTAGAGTAATGAAAATTCAGGAATTTTCAGCCTTGTTCAAGAATCCAACCCCCTTATTATCCTCAAGTGGACTCTATATCTTTTTAGTTTAAATGTGAGAATAACGACTTTGAATTTTCCCAACAACATATAGAGGTGTATAATCGTCAGAATATAGGCAAGTGATGTTAAACACCTGAACTGTGGATCTTGTGGAATGTATCCAAAGCACATAAAATAATTACTTTTTCGATATAATCACATTTTTCAGTAACTAGTTTCTAATTTTCTTCTTCATTTAGTCTCCTGCATAGCGCAGTGGTTAGAGCGTCTCCATACGAGTGAAAACTCTTGAGAGGGACGTAAAACAACAAGAAATCAATCTTTTCATTATTTTTTCCTTTGAAATTGCTTCTTTTAAAAGTGGGACAATTTTGTACCATATTTTCATCTAGCAATGCGCAAAGGTAACCATTTGATTTGGATAAATGTCAATGCTTTACTTAGGCCATCTAAAATAAGGAACTTTGAGCAAGTATCCCCATGAGTTCATATCTCTTGCAAAGAAGCAAGGCATATCAAAGTTATTCTATGAATTTGCGAGGCAGTTCAGAACCTTAAGGATGTACTTTACGTCAAATCTTGTTTGACCCATAGACAGGGTATAGAAAAGCCGTTTTAAGAACATATCATGACGTATTCATTGTTTTTCTAAAAAAAAAAAATTGACCCTCCGAATTGAACAAAAATTTCAAAAATATTTGGAGAATTGTTTGTGATAATTGTAAATACTTTTCATCAATTCCAGTTCTACCTCTACAAAAGTAATAAACCAATAAGTGCGTCCGGAAAATGCTTAATATGGCAGGATTTGGTGATGATGTGATAGCTATGGCTTTGAAGCAAATAGATCTATGAATTGTGAAGGATCTAGCAACTGATCCCACGATTACAGTAATTTCCTTGTTTATAACGTTTACATAATATTGTATTGTTTGAAGTTCTTTTTAATTGACTGTTTAACACACACCCCATTTTTTTTTTACAGTAATACATGTAGGGATGTTTTCAAACACTACAGAAGATAGACATTATAAAGAGCACTATATCTTTGAGACAACTTAGAGGGTCTATTCCAAAGAGTTAAAATGATTAAACAACAAGGAAACGGGGGGAAAGTTCAATGAGACTTTAAAAAAAAATCCGCATATGATATACCAGTCATAACCGTGTTGTTTAAAATGGACAGTTCTCAGTGATTCAGTCAGTGAATAATGTCAGGCCCTGTGACGACTAAATGCATATTGAAGTCGTAAACAAAAATAATGTGAACTATAGGAGTTTTGAGATTTGATAAATAACAATTATTACACTTCATTAACACAGGTACGATAAGCAGTTCGGTTAAGAGGAATTTATCGAGGTTCAATATGAAGAATACTATGGACGCCATATTTCAAAAAAGCTTCAGTTCATTTTGGATAGAAATAATAACCATGTTGCGAATAACAAATTTTATCTACATGTACCATTTATTGTTTTGTGTGGAAAAAATTTCAGGTGATGCTGAGTCTCTACTGAGGTTAACTCCCTGGAAGTGGAAACACCTGAACACATCCGTCAAAGTGGACACCCCGGTCTCTTTAGACATTTCTCTTCTGTCTCACTATAGACTTATGGTGAAATCAGAGTTGGTATAAACTTTCTATAGCATAAAAGCACAGAAAATCTATCGTGAAAATTGTTTTAATGTTTTTCAGACTATTAAAAAAATTCATCTATGAAAAAACAAGGTTAGCCTCGGGATGTTTTTAAAAAACTATTTCGAAATATTTTAATCTAGTTTGCTTATCTTTTTATTACACAGCACATGGGCCTATATCTTAGTTCTTTGCTGAATGTACTCATACATCCATATATATCCATGTATCTCGCCTTCATTATACATGTAAATTGACATGGTATAAAATAAAGACAAACTACTTTTTTTAAATTTTATTATTCCTTTATTTTTACATGTACATCCGAATCATAATTGCAAACACAGACAAAACACTCCTTCATATCTTATTGGAGACTTTTTAACTCTTAGGCCTGATCATCATTCTAGCAAACTTCATAGAGGGAGTAGCATTTCCAAAATGGTACCACATAACAGAACTATATGTATTGGCAGCAGACCTGTGGTAGGATCCATTTAAATCAGAATATAGACATGTTTTGAACCACCATGCACCTTTATTAATCACAGCACATATAACACAATTAGCTAATGTGTTTGGATTAAGAAGACTTTTGTAAGTTTATAGTTTTATTAAAAAGTCACAGCAAAGGTATCAAACAAACAATGGTACATCAAAAAGTTCAATTATAAAGATCTCGGAGCCAAGATGGTGAAAGCTCACATAGTCATTGTGTCACATAGGTCTAAGAGCTAAGTTCGTAAAAGCTCTCATGGTCCGTCTAGGAGCTAGGATGGTAAAAGCTATTGATACTCAGTGCGCGGATCTTTTGTACAAGAAGCTGCATCATAGGGTTCACATATTTGGTAATAGCAATTAGTTAGTTAGAGTGTCACTTCATTAATATCAATATTGTCCGCCCCTCACTGAAGCTCTGTCTCCCATCTCCTTATAGGATACAGCAATGTCCTCTGTTTACATTAACATTATGCATCTTGCGCATTCTTCAGTTAATTAGATGGCTGCAGCTCTGCACAAAGTGTGATTGGAAGTGTCAATGCTCGAGAACAACACATCGTAAAAACTAATTGTTCGTCAAATGAAGACGCTCTGTTATTGTATTCTGTCAAATGAAGACGCTCTGTTATTGTATTCTATCTCCCAGAGTTTGTAAACAAGTTCGTAATTAAGATATTATTGTCCGTCGCACTACACACTGATAGTATCAATTATAATTCATAACACAACATTAAAACATAGATAAATGTACTGTACAAATTAATATATCAATTAAACTTATAATTTATACGCTCATTGTGTTACATTCCTCCCCAAACCGGAGGAAACATTGTCCAATGTTTCATTAAATAAAACGCACTAACACAATGAGTTAAAATGTCTACGAATTATTCACTTTAAAATGTCCATAACACACAACACAGAGATGTCCAATAAGAATGTCCCGAACTGTTGATCGAATTATAACGAATGTCCCTTGAAAAACGGCGACATCCACTTGACCATCATTTCTTCATTACAGTGAGATCTCGTAGAATGGGTTGAATATCCCTCCAATTCGGTGACATCCCTTGGGTAGATGACATCTACTGGATATTATGAATGCCCCTTAAAACTCAGTGACATCCACTGGATAACGATGAATGTCCCTTTAACTCGGTGACATCCCAGACATTACACATTGTCATAATGTTTGTGATCGTATAGTGATAAAAGTTCATGCATCACAGCAAACGTAAAAACACAATGTTGTAATCTGCAACAGAGTTAATTAAAGCTTTCTGCTTAATTGTAACTGGTCAGTCCGAGACTCGGATACATGGTGTTGATCCTCATTAGTGTTCATCATCAGCATCAGATTATTTCGTCTCTGCTTTCTAAGAACCATTGTTGGTATAGTGATCTTGTAGTCTGCAAAACTGTTTTCTGGTTATTTTCAGTATTCTCCACGCTCGTTACTGGTGCAGATAGAGCTTTGTTATGGTCAGTCTCTCTGCCTTCCAGATACTTGGTCACCCTCGACTCTGAATAATTGGCTGAGATATTATACCTAGATCATTTAATTCTGGACAACCAATACACTTTTGACCTTGACCTTTGATACCCATATTTAAATATAGAACACATTTACCCCCATAATAATGGAATTTATTATCCCCAGGTGAATGTATGTACCCTTGTCTGTCAACCATTTTAGTCATGGGAGTAATTTGTATATTCGCATAATTTATTTATCTTTTTCAATTTATAAAGAAAATCTTGGTAATGTGAAATCAGGAAGGTCTCTTAAAATTGTTGAGCCAAAAATCGCTTTAAGATGTCTGAACAAAGAGTCAACTTAAAATCACAAATAGCGATGTATGTCACTCAAAATGTATTGCACTTTAATACCAGAAATGATTAGATTAGTCACAGAGAGGCTTCACAGAAAGAAAACAACCATGTTATCATTTTTATCAAGTCTCAATTTTATTCTAGGTTAGATTTCATCATCTAAAAATGTCATACTCAGACACATTACTTAGCGTAATCCTAGAACATTCAAGCTTTTCAACATCAAACTTCAAGATTAAACCTATTTAAACAGTCTTTAAATTACTAGTTCGGAAAACCATATTCCGGTATGTCATACGCAGACACGCTACTTACTGTAGCACTAGTGTTATCCAATGAATTGATCTGATTATTTACCCTTCTGAATCATGAAATGAAAGACTAGAGTCATAATTTAAGAGCGGCTTTCAACGTTTTCACGGTTTTTTCATGATTCGACAATTTAGACCGTTGTATTTTCGTTCTCCGAGACTTTGGCATGTAACATTCATTTATGTCCATTTCATCAAAATCTGTCTCCTGTTCAGTCTCAGTGTTATTGGTATCATCTATTTCTTCAGAATCTATGTCTTGCTCAGTGTTCGTCTGTTTTCGTTTCAGGCGCTTGGACAACTCCCATAAAGGTATATCGTCCTCATCAGACCAATCGTCTCTTTCCTTTCTAAATTTATCAGCAAGTCTAGCTAATGGTGTTTCGTCATTGGGGTCATCAGTGTCAGGTACATTGTCATTAATATTCTTGTTCTCTTCGTCTGTTTCGTCACTTTCAGGAGGTACTGCATATGCTGCATTTTTTATAGGTCTACCATCTTCCCCTTTCGGAATTTCCCAATCTACTTTTGCCAATCGCAAGAGTTCTTTATGTGTTTTCACGACTCGACCGTCCAACTGATTTTTAATTTTGAATGTCACTGGCGTAGTTTGTTCAATAACGCGATAAAAGGGTTTCCAATTACTTTTTAATTTACTTTGTTTTTGATTGTTTTTATAATAAACTGGATCTCCCACTTTTATTTCTTCGTGTACAGCGTTTTTATTTGCATATTTCATTTGTTGTTGTTTTGCTTTTTTCATTAATCTATGAACGCGCGTAAAGGTTTTATGTTGTTCCTGAAGCGCTATTTTATGTAGGTCTTCACCCATGTACTTACGTCTAGGTTTCAAAATTTTATCGATTGGTAAAACAACATCTCTGTTGTACAGCAAGAAAAAGGGTGAAAACTTGGAGGATTCATTGATGTGAAAACGAACTGCAGCTAATGTCTGATTGAGATGTATGTCCCATGTCGTCAGATTGTCTTGTAATTTCTTGGACAAAACATCATGCATTGTGCGATGGAATCGTTCAACTTTTGCGTTACTTTGTGGATGGTAATATGATGTAGTAACGTGTGATATGTTCAGTTCTTGTAATGTTTCTCTGACAATTTTGTTTTCATTTTCTGTCCCATTGTCCGTGACAATTTGCAAAGGCGCCCCATATCTTGGAAAGATTTCTTCTAAAATCAAATGAGCAATTGTCTCTGCTGTTTTATCTGGCACAGCAAAAGCCTCAGGCCAGCCACTGAATAGATCAACAAACCCCACTATATATTTGTTCCCTGATAAAGACCGAGGGTATGGGCCTGACAAATCTAACCCAATTTTTGCAAATGGATATTGAGGTATGTCTGTCTCTTGAAGTGGTGGTTTTAACTTCTTTAAGGACCTCATAGAACACGTAACACACTTGGTTACATAACTGTAAAATTCTTGGTACAAGTTTGGCCAGTAATACTTTTGTCTAATAGAGTCAAATGTTTTGTCTATTCCCATATGTCCAATATCGTCATGGTATTGTTTAATGACACCATCCCTGTAGTGTTGAGGAACATACAAGCGTACGATAGGATCATGATCCAAATTTGTTAGGAAATACACAACATCATCTATTAGCATGTATTTACTTAACATTGTTTTATCGGCCCTTCCTTGTAAGATGGTATTTTTGATTTTTAATATTTCTGGATCTTTGATTTGTTCTTTGATCATGTCAACATTTTCTTCATTTAAAATTTCAAGGTCATTTTTGAAAGGTAGATCTGGTCTTTCAAGTTCGCAACTAGCGTATTGTTTAGGATCAAAGGAATTTGAATCCAAGATATTTATTTCAAATGTCTTATCATTTACATCAGGGTCAACAAATTTCTCGTTTTCCTCTTTATTCATTTCAGGATCGTCTGGCAATCTCGACAATAAATCTGCGCACGTATTTTCTGTTCCTGCGATGTACTCTATTTTACAATTGTAACCAGCTATACTCAAAGCCCAAAGTTGTATCTTTTTGTTTTTCATAGGCGCTTGCAATAAGTATTTCAACGGCTTATGATCTGTTTTTATCACAAACTTTGCATTGTGTAAGTAGTGGTCTAGTTTTTGTAACGCGTAATGAATTGCGTATGCTTCTTTTTCTACCGTTGACCATCTCGTCTGAGTATCGCTCAGTTTGTTTGACAAATAATAAATTGGCTTTTCATTTTTAACCCCATGAATGACGTCATCGTGTTCATCTGTTTCTTGAACCAAGCACGCCCCTATTGCTTTGTCAGAAACATCCGTATACAAAATGTATTCCTTGTTTAAATCTGGATAGGCTAACAACGGAACCAGGGTTAAACTTTCTTTTAAGTAATCAAACGCTCTTTGAGACATTTCATTCCATTTGAATTTTGCATATTTTTTTGTTAAGTCAATAAGTGGTTCGGCTATTTTAGAAAAGTTTGGTATGAACCTTCTGTAATAGCTTCACATCCCTAGAAAACTTCTCACGTCTTTAACACAGTTTGGTACAGGCACATGCCGAATCGCTTTAACTTTATCTTCGTCTGGTTTAATTCCGTTTTATGTCTTCTAATGCTTATAGGCAAGATCACCGCAGCTTGTTTTTGCTAATTTTGTAATGTACTGACCGTGCTTGGGGTCTGTACTAATTTATAAAAATAAATTAAACCTATATTTACTACCTATATAGGGAACTTATTTGAAATATTATGGAGGGAGGGATCTTCGTATATTATTTACTTGCTGACTCGCCTGTAAATGTTTTATTCGAAACCAAATTGAATGCTCTAGCTGGTATGGATGCTTTGTGAACCAACGGTAGTGGATATCCTGGTTACCCGGCTGATTTGGGGCACACCTGTAGCAGCACTGCAAGCAGTTTAGCTAGCAAACATATGGATCTTATACCGGCTGA